TGTATTGGAATAATAATTAATAGGTTGTAAATTTTGGATTGGACTGGGCCATGTTGATGGAGCTTCTGTGCTAAGTGGCTTTATGGTTGCTGAAAATGGGCGTTGGTGCCATAAATGTAGAGAAGAGCCCCAAGCATCTCCTGACCCTGGGGTCTCCCCCTGCGCCGAGCCCTGGGGACATCCTGGCTTGTGGAGTCCCCCAAAGGTCACCTCCTTTCCTCACTCCAGGCTTTGTAAGAAAATGTATGTCCTGATCCCCCTCTGACAGTGAGAGCTGCCTTGTAATGGTGAGAAATTACACTATGGCAAGGAATTCCCATTCCTTATAATAGGATATACATGAGCATGTGCTTTCAGATCCTTCCTGAAGGGTACATGGAAAAGCAGATCCAAACCTGTCAAAAAAAAAAAAAACCAAACCAAAACAACCAGAAACCACATAGTAAAAAGAACTCCCACAAACCACCAAATGCTCCCATGTTTTAAATAAGAAAAAAACCCAAGAGCACTTAAAATTCCCTGTGCTGGATGGGAGACACTGCTCTAACACTTGACAACGCATTTCAAAACATTATCTGCTGCTTCAAATCCCAACACTTGGATCAGCTCCCTCCCAAAGCTTTCACTGCTTCTGCTCCTGGATGAGGTAAATACATATTCTGGTTCCTGGTGGGATTTAAATTTCCTTGTTTATTGATTCTGAGTGTTAATTCCTAACGTGAAACTTTTGCTCAGTCTTGCAGAACGGACGGATTTGGTTTGATCGACGTACTGATGATGCCTTGTAAAAATATAGGTCTAGAGTATATAATCCCGACAGTTTATTGGAAAATTGCTTTTTTTTTTTTTTTTTTTTTTCATTTTTTTCCCCCAGCAGAAATGAATTCAGACCAATCAGGGCATTGGATTAGTGAAGCTTGACCTGCTAAATTGAATCAGACAGTTATACAGCATCAGATGTTCACTGCATTGACCTTTTTAATGAGAAATAGGTCTATTAGGTCTGTTTGACTCTTGGTAAAATATTTTATGAATCTGAGTGGTGCTTTCCATCACTTAGGTATGTATCAAGTTATAGAGGGTAGGTTACAAGGCGACCAAGTAAAATTAGCTTTTTGATGGCTTGTCCAGGTGGAACATGTCTAATTTGTTAACTTGCTGACCCCTTTTCTCCCTGTGCCAAAAGCCTCAAAAAAAGCAGAAGCCAATGAACAGCCATTACAAGGGGAAGGAAAAGGCAAAAGCGCCCGATAGAAGCTGCTCTGGCAAATCTCCAGCAGCCTGTCAGAGATAAAAATAAAAAGGCAGTGCCCCAGGCCCTCCCGCTTTTATGGAATTTCTGGGTTTGTTTTTGAGAGGGGAAGCCCTTTCTTCTGGAAGTGCCTCACCCTGGAGCAGTGGCTGTGCTGTATCAGATGCTTCCCTCCTTATTTCTCCTGTTCTTCCCCTCTTCATTCGATCTGAATATTTTAACCAGCTCAAATTAAATAATTGCTCTGAATTATTTCTAACTGAGCTGCAAATTAATTCATGTGTCTCTTCTCTGGGATTTGAAGCACTAAGTGCAGAATGCATTGCACACAAGCTAAGAGCTTGGTTAACTCAACTTTCTTTTAAAAGCTGTTGATATGTTGGGCTATTTTAGAGGAATCCATGGGGATTCAGTGATTTCCTTCACAGCCTTTATGGAGAAAGGAGGGTGGGGACAGGCGTTGACCTGCTCAACACACTTTGTGCTTTGCTCCTTGGCCTCTGCACACCCTCAAGGTCAGATATCTGCGTTGTGCTGCTGCGTCATCCCTCAGACACGTTGCCTAAAATTAAAGGTGCTTCAGATTTGAGCCAAACGTCTAAATACAAGCATTTTGTCCTAGTTCAGGTCCGCTGTGATATTCTCCTTGCCTGCCAGTTCCCACCACAGGGATGTCCCCTCTAATTCCCGTGTCACGTCTGCCAAGCCCTGGGGGTGTCTCAGGCAATGGGAGGCCACCTGAGATGCCAACAGATGCTCACCACAAAACTGCTGTCTCCCATCCATGCATGAGTATCCATGAAATCAGGGACTTGTGGGAAATAACTGTTTAGGAAAAGATCCATTTACCCAGACTTGCTCTGGACGTTGATCATCAACTGTCTTTGGGAAAGACAGTTGATGTTATTAGTTTTTATCTTTGTTTTTACACTGAACTTGTGTAAACACCTGTCACAAGTAGCATGTTCACGGTGAGCTGCAGTAAGACCTTGTCTTTGCCAAGATGCAGTTTCCTCTTCGTTCCTGAAACCAGTTAATACCTGTTTATTTTATAAAAATGGTCAGGTATAGACTTTTCCTATAATTTGACAGACATCCCTGCATGGGGACACGGTGTCTAGATCTTTTGTGACAAATAGAAGAAATTAACATTTTATAGAAAGTGAATAGTCAATAATTCATTTCATAGTTGCCATGTACAATTTTCCCCATTATTTGGAGAAGATTAAACGAGAAAACTCAATTCATTATTACATTTTAAAATATGCATTGGATTTCTCTGGATTGTTATTTAGGCCTGCTCTCCCAATGCTGTTTCTTGGCAAGAATAGGGTTGATGTGTTTTTTCTTCTTTTCTTCCTTTTTTTTTTTTTTTTTTTTTTTTTTTGCGTGTGTGTATGAAAGATTAAAGACTCATTTAACATTGAAACATGTGTTCTTGCTGATTCACACTGGGGTTCCTGTTAGAATGTCATCTGCTGAAACACTATCTCTGATTTCGGCACGTCTGACATCAAATATCTGTTATCACTTTCCAGGTGCAGTGGCCAACATGCTGTGATTTGAAAGATGATCTTGGACATGTTTTCCACCGAGATGGGAGGATTCCCCAGTGCTTGAAAGAAGCAAAAGAGAAGCAAAACCAAAAAATCTTGAAGAAACCAAAAGCTGTTCATGAAGGGAGAGTTTCTCCTTGGAGGAAAATTGCAGCTTTTGTCCACTTCTGTTCAGAAATGTCCCCAGCCATGATGGCTGTGCTTCCTCTGAGACCTTGTGGACTTTACAGCAGATTCATCATCCCAGGAGGAGTGTTTTGGGCCACGCAGCTGAGAGAAGATGAAGCTGAGCTGGGAGGTGTGGGAGCCCAGTTGTGCTCATTGCTGCTCTGGTGGGGCTCCAGTAGATCTTTGACCTTCAGTGTCTCCATGCCTGCTTCCAGCCTGCCCATTTCCAGGAGTTAGTAGCCTTGGGGGGGGAAAAAAAAAAAAAAAAAAAGGGTGTTTCAAAGACAGGAATTTAGAGGGATAGAAATGAAAAAAACAGCAACCAAAACCGTATATGGACATTTTTGCAATAATATGACGAAGTAAGAAGAATTAGAAACGCCCTGTACCTTGAAATTCTAGCTTTTGCAGACATCAGCTTGGAGGTGGATCTGCATGATCCACCTACCAACTCCCATGTTATCTCTCAGTATGAAGGAGAGGGGTATGTGCAGATGGTGAGAGCTGGGTCGGCTCTCTCCTCACGTCCCAAATGCCACCTCTGTCCCTTGTCACCAGCTTTGCTCCAGCTTCCACGAAGCCCCCCAGGAAATGCAGGGGGTGGACGAGGTCTGTGTAGGCTCAGCTCAGGTCAGGCAGGGGTGGTGGGAGCTGCAAACAAGCTCCAACCCCTCCTGCTCAGGTGTGACCTGCGGGCAGGGAGCCAGCCCCTTGCCCAGCAATGTGCGTCGTACCCCGCGAGCAACGCGGCGAACAACTTATCCACGTCTGGTCTGCTAATACATATTTATTCTGTTAACAAGTAATTCATTCCTGAACAGAAAGCTCGGGAGTTGATTTATATCGCAGTCGAATCAAGTCTGAAAAAGCTGCTAAATTCACCGATATAAATCACGACGATTTTGTTTTTGCTATGGGCTGGAGAGAAAACGGGAGCTGAGCAAACATGGCACTTCGTGACTGTTAATAATTAATATCAGCTAATGAACAGCATGAGAAATGCTCTAGTATTGTTAATATTATTAATAACACTGATAATTGTTTTAGTATTGCAACAGTGATCATTCATAATAATAATGGTGAAAGATGGGTGCCTGGGAGTGCCCTCATCACCCTGAGGATGCAGGTAAGTTGTGTGGTTGAGGGGGTGTAGCAAAGGGTCCATGTTTCCTTTTGCAAGATGCTTTTATTCCTCATTTGTGGTGGGTGTCAGAATAAATGTGTATGTGGGCAGAGACTCCCCACCAGTATTGCCCCTGGAGAAGTAAATCGGTGTAAACTATTCCCAGGTTGAGTTGTATGTACCTAAAACAACCATGTTGTTTGTATGTGGTAAATACATGCTACAGGGAACACACTCAACTCCAAGTATTCTGTGGACTTAAAAACTCAGGGTTTGCTGTATTTTTATGTGTGCACTTTTTTTTTCCTTTCTCTTAAATTAATTACTCTTTAGAAGGTAATGTTTCTCCTGTAACTTTTGTATATCTTCTGCCTCTGTACAAGGTAAAATGACTTTAGCTCTAATTTCTATCATTTTAACAAACAGCAAATAAAATGGATGTGGATTTCCTGGATGAAGCGTTTGGGAGCAGGGATTGCAGGAAAGGTTTAAACTCCCTTGATTAAGTTTCCCTGAGAGGTTTAAGTGAGCATGTCCTCATTCAGATTCAAGTTAATCTACAGTTTTTCATAGACATCATGTTTTAAAGCTCTAAATCCATGAAAGGCGCTTTTGAGCCTTCTGCCTTGTCGTGGCTGCCCAGTGACGGTGCTGAATTTGATGAATTGATGATGTATTCAACCCAGTGCACCGTAAATAGTTGCTAAATATTCAGCAGAGCCTCGGCTGCCTCCTTGCACTGAGGCCCAACATAAGCTCAGATGGTGACATTTTCCTCCCTAATCCCTTTACTCTTTTTCCCATGCAGGAGATTTTCGAAGGATGCTAAATGTCACCAAAGACCCTTCAAGATTGCAAAACTATTTAGAAGTTTTGTGTTTGGGATTTTTTTGTCTTTTGTTCTTTTTTTTTTTTTTTTTTTTTTTTTTCCCCAAAGAAGGTTCAGTGTGTGGTGCCACCACCCTCTGCAGAAGAGCCTGGTTTTGGTGGCATCTCTTCCAGCATCCTTCCAGAGGGACCTGAAGGTTGAAAGCACACCATGACCCCATGTCAGGGCAAAGCCCAGGTGATGCTTTACTGAGGATTGGGGCTGTCTTCTCCAGAACACTCTGCGAGATTATGGTCTGATTAATAAAATACAGACACTTCAGGCAAAATAGTCTGAGGCTAACAAAGCTGATTGCTTCTGCATCTTGCAGGCTGGTTAGCGCCAGCCTGAGTGAGATCCATCACTTTGGGGGAATGGCATCACACGGAAGAGGAAAGGAGGAGGATCTGGTAATGTTGTACCTGCGGTTTATTTCAGATTCTCACACTGAAGGGGGGTGATCAGTGTTTTTAACTAGATATCTCAATTTTCTAGGATAGAGGGGTGGCCTCTGTGTCCCAGTTTCCATGTGCAAAGTGAGGCAGCAGGTTTACCTGCCAAAACTGGCATGAGAATAAAACATCAAAATTTTAACCGTTGGAGACGAGGACCAGAGAGAATTCTATGGGATTCAAAGCCACAGCAGAGTCCATGGATATAGCAGTTATGGCCAGCATAGCTCCCTTATCCCAGCCAAAAATTAGTTTTTAATTTGTGAGGCTTAAGAGCTGTCTGTAACAGGAGATGCTACATCTGTGCAAGGCCGTTATGTCGGGTGAATTTTGAGGTGGGGAATGAGTTCAAAGAGGAAAAGTGTTATAAGTGCAACAGTTAGTAGGAGTAAAGAACAATCTCTCTATTCCTGCAAATGTTCAAGTTTTGAATGTTTTCCTGAGGTAAGAACAGAAAGAAATTGAGTTTTGTGTGAACTGGCAATTTAAACCAAAGATGATATTGTCTGTGTTATTTGGGCTGTTTCCCTTCAGTCAGTTTGAAGAACATTTTTGAAACAGTAATCAACTTAAATAGAAAACCAGTATATTGTAAGAGTTTTTCACCATTTCAAAGCCTTTTTTACCAAGAACTTGATGAAAATGGCTCTCTGCAATGACTAATTTTGGGTTTGATGAACAGGAGTCCTTAGACCAGATTAATTTTGCTGAAAAAAGGCTGTCCAGCTCTATTCTCCACATCCTGGCACAAGAACCACATTATCTCATGTCTCCTGGCAGCTGGTGCGCTGGGTCGGGGAGAAGGGCTCAGCTTTGCACCCAGCCTGGCACTTGGGGATTGCTCTGTAGTCCTCTGGTACAAACCAAAGTCAAACACTGTGCAAAATGTTTTTTATCTATCCTGCGTAAGCATCAGTTTGTTATGCACAGAAAGAGATCACTGCATATATAAGAGAAGATTTTTTTATTTCTTTTTTTAGGTTCATCCCAATCAAGTCTTTGTTTTTTAATTGTTTATACATGGAGAAGGTTTATTGACCATATTTCTCCATGTTTCTTAATTGTGAGCACAGATGAATGTACTGAGCATAACATTTCCACTGCCTTATATGAGTTCATAACATTTTGCAATAACCCTGGCAATATTTGTTTAGATGAACACTTGAAGGACATCTGTTGGTGCCGGAAACAATGATGTAGGTTTTTGCTTTTGTTTTTTTAATTGCTATTTTGTCAGAGGAATAGGCACACTTCTGTCACTTGCAAAGAAAATCCTGCTAAGCACCGACAAAATCTGCTCTGAGTTACCAGTGTTCCTCCTTTCCCTCTCTAATTGGCAGAGTTGCAAGAACGACTAAAGGTAAAGTCTGCTAACACATATTTTGGAAATTGAGATCAATATCTTGCTAAGCCATATGTACGTCTCTCCAGGGGGTTTATTTAGCCAGTTAGTGTTTGTGTTGATGATAGCACCGTGCGTTCTGTTTGATGTTGGGTTTGAGAAGGTGTGCGAGCAAGCGATGGTGTGAGCACTGAGCTGGTGTTTGCGGGAGAAACGTGCTTCATCTGCTACAAATCTGTGACCGAGAAGCTGTGTGAAAGGGCGACAAAAACGCAGGACTCAATCAGATGGTCCACCTCTGAATCCCGTTTTTTTTCCCCCCAGGTGAAAAATAAAACATCAGCTAAAACTTTTTGTAGACTCTGGTCCTTTGCAGCAACCAAGTGCTCACTGCGGGGGGATGCCCTTGCCGGTGCCCAGTATGGACCAGCCCCTGTCTGGTAGACCTGGGGGAGCTGAAGGCCCCCCCATCCACTGGTGATGGAGACGTGTGGAGCTCCAGCAGGAACTGCAAACTCTCCTTGCTCTGTGGTGGTCGTGGAAGCCCACCCTCCCTGGGGCAGGGGCTGAAGGGGATCCCTGCCACGAGCCCAGAGGGCTGCATCTGGCCACCTACGCCTGGATTTCATATTCACTGTCATCATTTATCACCCACATGCCTTCAGGGCCCGATTCTTGTTTTCTTGTGTAAAACGCAAACATTTTCCTTTGGAATAAAGATATTAATTAATTTTCTCAGCTTCATCTCCCTGTCCTTCCCTCCCTCCCTCTCTACTTGAAGTAAAGACACTAGGATAAATGGCTATGCCTTTAACAGTGCATGGCTTTTGCTGTATTTTTCCTTCATTTGCAAAGCAGGACTATATGGTTTCAAGCCAGAGTGCTTCATATGTGAACGGGGACAAACACCCTAAAGCAAAAACAAGTGAGAAACTGATGTCTTCAAGAAGAAATCTACGCCAACTGTCTCCCAAGGTGGCAGCAAACACCTCCTTATTTAAATTGGGAAAAACACCTCTACAAATGACTACATCTCAGCCTGACCCACTCACATGCTCATAATTTAGGAGAATCTTCCCATTTCTGCATGCCCTGGTGAAGAAGCGAGGGCCAGGCAGGAGGCTGGGGATGCCACTGCTCCCTGGGGAAGGATGGCTGAGCTGACTGACACCCAAATAAACCTTGGAATTTCAGGTGGGGTCTTTTTCTTTTTCTCATATGTGACTTCAGGCAAATCACTCAATATGCTAGCACCTCATTTTCTCATCAGTAAAATGAAGATAATAGCATCAAAGAATAGTTTGGGTTGGAAAGGACCTTTAAAGCTCATCTAGTCCAATCCCCATGCAATAAGCAGGGACATCTTCAACTAATTCAGGTTTCTCAGAGCCCTGTCCAACCTGACCTTACTCACTCTTTCTTACCCCACTAGGATATGGAGACGGATATACTGAAGTCTGTGAGGTAATTAGCTGTTGTGGCATTGGGTCATCCAGTAATTCAAATGAATCTTAAAGGAGAGATTAAACATCATAACATCTGTTTCCTCTCCTCTGAACCAAGTAGGAAAACACCTGATTTTTGCAGGGGTACTTCTGTCCAGGGTGACCTTGGTGCAAGTCCTTTTCTACTTAAATTTTGACTCTTGATGGCTTGGAAAAAATAGGAAAGCTTAACATGTTTCTCCAGGTTGTTAATTGGACAAATTGATTTGAGATAATGCAGGTGTTCTTGATGTCTTGCCCTGCTTTTTCATTCATTTTAATTCAAGTCACTAATGGTGCAGGAGCTGGTCCTACCCTCATAGCACAGCTGTAGCAGTTGGAAGTGACGTCTGTGTTTTGCTTTCTGGTTTTGTGTGTTCATAACAGCCTGAAAAAAAGTGATGCCTCTGCCTTGGACCCCTTCACTCTCAGGCAATGCATGGGAGGGGGTCACTGCTGCAGGCTGTTACAAGCTGCTGCAGCACTGGAACAAGATGCCTCTGCCCCATCCCAATTTCCTTTTGTAAAACATCCACTGGGGATCACCAACACGAGATTCGGGGACAGACTTTGTAGTAGGGCCTGTTGCAAAAAGACAAGGGTAATGGTTTTAAACTGAAAGAGGGTGGATTTAGATTGGACATAAGGAAGAAATTCTTTACTGTGAGGGTGGTGAGGCACTGGCCCAGGTTGCCCAGAGCGGTGGTGGATGCCCCATCCCTGGGAACATCCCAGGCCAGGTTGGACGGGGCTCTGAGCAACCTGATCGAGCTGAAGATGTCCCTGCTTGTGGCAGGGGGTTGGACTGGATGGCCTTTGAAGGTCCCTTCCAACCCAGACCATTCTGTGAAATCCAGCTGAGGGGTTTGGAGACTCTTCTGAGATGCTAAATCTTTTTTGATCTTTGCCCTTGTTGTATCATCTGGTAATGTTAAAAGTGAGGTACCATCCCCTCCTGTGGATTTTATCAGCAACTTCACTGCGATGTGGTTGCGACGATGTGTGAGGTGTGTGGTACAATGTTGTTGGTGGGAAACAAAACATTTAGTGTAATTTTTGATGAGTACCAGCAGTGTTACTGCAGTGGTAAATCTTTTTATCTTTAGAGACTGTAGGTCTGCTAGCCAGGTGCTATTCAGAACATTACTTTGAAAGTACCTTGTGACTTTTCCCTAGCAAGTTATTTAGGAATTCGAAAACCCTGAATTATCTTTTTATTAACTTTATATACTGGTCCAGCATGCATTCAGACTGAACATTGAAAAGTTTGCCAGCCAACGAAATCAAATCAATTAAGCCCACAAGATTTACGATGCGGGTCTTCAGAAGTTTCAAGGACTGGAGTCACTGGCCTTTTGCCAAGGACACAGAAGGAAAACCCATTTTTTTACCTTGACCATTTTGACATGGAGGTGGAAAATTGCATCACTGGTGCACGCGATGTGAAGTGAGCTGGGAAATTCTGTATCAGAGGTGTTGTGCTGTGGGAGGATTCATCCCCTTGTCATGCCTTGTGGGCTGCATCTTTTGGGACAGATTTTCAGAGGATCAATTATATATCTATATTGAGATATAGATATATGTAGATATATTTGATTGAAATGACAAAGGATGTGAAGTTATCTTGGGTAAAATCACTTATACAACCCTTGACAGTTATGTGATAAAATGTCAGAAAAATTGGAGCAATGATGCTTGTCTTGAGACAGGAGGGGTTACAGACAGAATTGTGCATGGGGATGTTTGAAAGTGTCCTTTGAAATTCGCAAAACTCTGTCCTCTCCATCTACCCTCCCCTCAGCAACATCACCCTCCAGCATCCCCACCACATCTGCCTGCGCAGGAGGCTGAGTTTTCTTAAGTGATCCAGATATTTGTCAGAATGTTATCTTGTATCAATTGTGTGTGAAAAGTAACCTGAAAATTGCAAAATTAGAAGGGTTATTTAATCATAAGGAACTACAAGTAAGTCCATGCACAGTTTAACTTCTCTTTCCAAGAGTCACCAAAAATGGTCAAACTTGAATGGTACTGGGAGGATACAAAATTACTTCATAAAAGATATTTGTACACCTATTAAATAATGAGTTTTAATGGAAAATAACAGGTTGAAACACTACAGAAAGGCACTGAAGAGAGCAAGGTACACACCTTATTACCTCTGAGCATATCTACATCCCTGTTAAACTGACTTGGGCTGACCTCAGCAGGTGGGTCAGCAGAGAACTGGCTGTGTGGGGAGGGGGATTTACCTTTTTTCCCCCAAATGGTAACTTTTGACAAGGATTTTACATAAGAGCCTTCCTTTTCTACCTCTCTAATATTTCCATTATTGTAATTTTCTTTTCCTACACACAAATCACCTCTGGTTGAAAACCAGGTTTCCTTATTCTCATTGATCTGCTACATGAATCTAAAATTACCTAAAGCTGTCACTCCTTCACATCCTGATGTGGTTTGAATGCTCTCCCAAGTGACACACTTCAGATCTTTACTTGCCATGTTTTCATTCCTTTAAAAAAATGTGTCTTAAAATAGTTCTTGTTTCCCTTTGCAGTTTATCGATTACAAGCTGTCAATTTCCAGTCCCTATCTTGACAAAACTTTTGTGGTGTAGGGCTGATTATTAAGAAAAATTGCTTCTTCTCCAGCTGTTACACCTCCTTGTGTAGGACCTGGGTGACACTCGTGTTTTGTGTCAGCAAGAAATAATCAGAGACTTACAGAGTCGGGATAAAAGGAAGCTTTTAGTGAGTAAATGTGGGCTTGTAGGAATGAAAAAATAAAGATAATACAGGTGCTACATCTTGTGGGATGTTGCTAAAGCTCCCAGTGGGTTCAGTGATCAGGATGCGCTTCCTTATTCTTGCCTTTGTGTGTGCTGCATGGTGCTGGCTCCATCCAGCCCTCGTCCCTTACAGCAATTTCTCTATCAAAGAGCTATTAAAGGAAGGGTCTCACACCCTGCCGTATGGCAAATGGATTGTGCGACAAATTCAATCTGCCCAAAGGAGGTAGAGATTCATCTGAAAAATATGTAGGCAATGCTCCTGGGGAAAGCGGTGCCTGAGGGATGCGTGGGGAGAAGCAAGATGCACTGGGAGCTCAAAGGCAGCAAGGAAACAAAGAGGAGAATCAGCAGTACTGAAGCAAAGTTAGAGAGCAGCTAATTTCTCTGATGAATGACTGTGTAAAGGAAAGGAATTAAACTTATAAACTGGGAAGTGCAAAAGTGTCTCCAAATAAATTAAACAGATGGCTATGTGGAAATGCAGAGCTCGTGGCATTTATTGTGGGGCTCACAGGTGCTTGGCTCCATGCTGGGAGCCTGTGGTAGGACAAGAGTTTTAAACTGGATATTAGGAAAAATTTCTTCACCGAAAAGGCTGTCGAGCACTGGAACAGCCTGCCCAGGAAAGTGGTGGAGTCCTCTCTGGAGGTATTTAAAAGAAGCGTAGATGTGGTGCTTGGAGACACGGTTTAGTGGTGGTCTTGGCAGTGCAAGGTTGGACTTAAGGGTCTTTTCTGACTTAAATGATTCTGTGATTCTAAGAAGAGCTGGAAAAGGTCTTCAGGCTGAGGATGGATGTTTTCAGGAGCTTAAGAAGTTGTTATGAACTCGTTATGACATTTGAAGAAGGAAGGAGCCCTCACTCTCATTAGCAGTAAGGCCTTTTTTCCTGGTGAGCAAGCTGAAGGGCATCAAAGTACTCCGATGTGTAATACAAGGATGCTTAAAAGCCTCTTCACTGTTTCAGTGTGGTGGATCACAGCCTGTGCTCCAGAGAGAATAAAAACCTCGTGGGCTGGATCTGCATCTGGTACCGATCGCTTGACGCTGCCGAGCTCATTTGCACCTGTGAGCACCTG